AGTAAAACTATGAATCTATAACTCAATAGACAGGTCTATATAAAGATATAATCCATGTTTCTGTCTCATATTTGTATGGCATTAAAAGGATATGGAACTTTTGTTTTTCCACTAAAAGCTCTGGTTTGCACAATAAATGCCATGTGAGTGAAGTTTTATGGTTGATACTCTGATGTCTCATTCTCCTGAAGGCAGCACAGAGCTGCACCACCAGAAACACTGAAGAGAAGAAGAGTTATGATTAATGTAGTTACAGTTCTATCCATGTTTTAATGTTGCAGAGCTCAGACTTTTTGCAAATAGATCAAAGTAGCCTACAAATTCTTTGGTGGGGGGCGGTGAGGGACCTGAATAAGGGCTAGGTGGGTGCAGGCCCAAAAATGATTGAGAAACACTGACATAGGCAGATAAAGAACAGGAGGACAACGCAGTCAACGCCTTGCATAATAAAACGTGTACTTGTACTATTTTAAGTGACACGTTGTTTGACACGTCGCCGCCTTTTGAACATTTTGACGAGGTGGGTGCTTTTCATCTGAAGGTGCTCCCAACATTTTCTTCTTTTTATCATAAATAGATGGAGAAGTGGCTTAAAGATTGACCCAAACTGAGTGAAACTGAAGGTCATTTCCTTTAATTTGCTTAATGCATTCATCGGTAGCAAGCAACGAAGAGATGGGTCATCTTCATCACACGGATTATGTGTTAATAATCTCAACAGGAGTGCATCATACTGAGCTCATCCATTTTTGTTAGAGTGACTGAATTAAACATTATTGACAAACAAAGGTGAGACAGGGGCATGAATCATTTGTTGCATGGCAGAGAGGCGACTGCATACAGAAACGGATGGAAAATCAATAGTGCAAATGGGAAGACAGGAGAACGGGGAAGTCTAGTTGTTAAGCTGAAATGTTAGACAGCAGTGCGTCCCTCAAACATGATCAACAACGTGTAGAGTGATGGAAAAAAGATGACCGTGCACAGACACACACATAATAGTTGATATTACGTTTCAGCTGTAGATGTATAAAGCTACAAGAGGTTCTTTGGGAATTTCTGGACATCAAAAGGCATAAGCCCAGATTTTACTCAAAGAAAAGGTTGGTATATCTACGGAAAATACGTTACAGCAATATCTTGACTAGAGCAACAAGACTTGATCCCAGTGCAATGAGTGCAGCTATGCTATTCCACATAGAGGTACGGAGGCCAGCGTCCTGCATGAACTCCTCCAACGCAGGAAATTTCTAGAACATCAAACTACCGAGTCCCAAGAAACAAGACTATTGAAGCAAAATATTTGGTCCCGTTGACAAGTGAAATGAAATAACTTTATGTTAATATTACTATAATATTTTTTATGAATGTTTAATATGCAAATATGACATTGCAGAATCAGAATCAAATTTTCCATCTGATTCATATAAATTCCCATCATGTTCACAAAAGGTTTGAAAATTTCTGAAAACTCCCACCTTACTTTACATTTGATATTTTTCCCCTTGCTAATTTTTTCACATTCCTTCCTGTGTGAGATATAAAAGGAAAAGCTTGACGTTATTGTCTAAAAAAAATTTATAAATAAAATAGTATACCTCCATGAAAGAGATGCCCACACTCCAGACATCAGCATGGATCCCATACTGCTCTCCTGATATCCTTTCAGGCTGTCGAGATAAAACAAGTTAGCTTATTCTACAAACAAACCAAAAAAAATAATTATGTATGTATCTAAAATCAAAGTGCAAAATGTTACCTTCAGTTACAATAAAAAGTAGAAAACTTACTGCCATGTATGCGTTGGTTCCCACATAGGTTTTCGCTATAGAATTTACCAGCTGCAGAAGGAAAGAAAAGACTCCTTCACATCAAGTAACTAAGCTTAAAATTATACTAGTTAAACACAAATAACACTAAAAGGTTTTACAATTTACGACGTCAGAAAGAGAACAGCAGCTATATGGTTGATTTGCATTCCCTAAATCTACTGTCATGTAAGGGGGGGGTGCACTCAGACCTCAAACAAGAGACGATGGCATCAGAGTGTGTATGTCATCAGTGACACAACCCTGATAATGACTGTCTGCTCCCATATGGCTTTTTTTTTTTTTTTTTTTTTAACGTCCTACTGAATGTGAGGCAAGGATGAAGGGTCTACATGCATAAAAGACAAGTAAACAAAAAAAATAGAACAAAAAGAGGGGTGGGACACATGTGTTCACCTTTAGGAAGCCAAGGAAGTGAAGGTTATGAATGAAGGACCAATTTTCCAAAGAAGGGAAAACTGTTTGCGTGCCAGGATGCTGAAAGGGAAAACCGAGTCCACGGCTCTGGGTGTTTTGGTGACGGTGAAGGTCTGTCCCTGATGATTACATTACAAAACACACTTTGACGCGTGCACGCACGCGCGCGCACGCACGCACGCACGCACACACGCGCACGCACGCACGCACGCACACACACACACGATGACAAGGCTATTGTCTGCTGCCTATGCTTTCCCCTCCAATCTACTGAATACATATCAATGCGGCTCAGCGTTGTGTGTGTGTGTGTGTCATAATTATAGCAAGTGATTTTTTTTTTTTTTTTTTCAGAGGACGCAGAACAATGGACAGGGGGGCGCTAATGTGAGAAGATGACCCTGGGGATGGCTCTGATGTCTTGAGTGCAGAATGAATGCTGTGATTGACAAGCTGACCACGCGCACACACACACTATGAATGCACAGGGCTGTGGCGGCGCAGCTCCACTCTACAGCTTCCTCGCATTCCCATCCTGCATTCTTTCATTCGCTCCAACACAAACAAATCAGAGTACCTGTGTGCTGACACCAAAGTCACACAGCTTGACTTGTCCTCGGGTGTTCACCAGCATATTGGAAGGCTTGACATCTGTGGAGACAAACTGCTTGATAAGAACTGCGACATCAGCACTTTGCTGCTTGTCTTTATCAACTCTGCCCTGTTTTTTCTTTTTTCTTTTTAATAACGCAGCAACCTTACTCACCTCTGTGAAGTATCTTCAGGCTCCACAAATATGTCAGGCCTTTTACAACCTGGGGACACGAGGTCGGGGAAAACGGAGAGATTATGACTTTAAACAGATAAAAATCTGAAACTCGGTTTCATTCCGTTCTTAATCGGTCAAATGAAAAAAAAAAAACACACGAGCAGAACTCGATAGTAACACAATGCCAGACTCGTATCAGAGTAACAAAAAAGAAAAAAAAGTGGCTGTTTATTTAGAAATCAGCTGTCAGAGTCGAAGCAGGTCAACACGCTGTTTACAGCTGCGCTCGCGGCCGATTATTTTCCTACGAATACATGAACTTGATCTCTGACTCATTTCTGTTAGTCCTTTAATTTCTCCAGGTGGTGCTAAAATAATTTTCCTCTGAAAGCTGTGATTAACTCCTGTTTTCCGCAGCTGGTATTGTGATTCACTAGCCCTGCCGGTTGTTGAACAGTTTGAAGGACATTTACTGGTGTAACGTTGTGGCTCCTGCTCTCAGGTGGTGGAAAAGTAGGCCGGCTCTCTTACAGAACCAGTTAAGAGCCGGGTCTAGAACCAGCCCTGGTTATGACCTGGAACATCTTTGGTTGAACCAAACCAATCTGGTCGTCTCACAGTAAAAGATGAGCACCAGAGTTTTCAACCAGGTGGAGGTTTTTGTTAGAAAACACAACATTTAAACCCAACCACTCGTGTGTGTTAAAGTGCTTACATACAAATACATTCATAATATCAACTAACCTTTGTAGAAATGTTAATTAAATAAAGCACAGAGGTCTGCTTTGATTGGAGAAACAACATAAACATGACAAGTTAGAATATTTCACACCATTTTTGTTTCAAAATAGAAAAAAAACTATGGTTTGGGTTATCATTTAACAAATATTAAATATGGAAGAAGCCAACATGTTGCACCTCATCTGCGTGTGGTTTATGGGAATAAATCACCTGCTTTATCCCAATGTGATATTATATAAATTTGTTTGGATGACAATACGATGTTTGCCCTTATCACAAAGCATGTCATGATAAGATTTCTATTCACTTAAATTCACAATTTATTTTTCATTTGTATCTACTTCGCCTCCCACACCTTTCACAGGCATCAGACATAAACATTTAAAAATATAAAAATAAACATCTTAAACTTGAAGATATCAATACTTACATTTTGCACCAATGTAAATGGATAATTAATCATGTAATATATATATATTTTGATGTATTGTTACACGTATTATTAATGCGGTTAATGCTACTTTGATACACATCATACAGAGTTTAGGCTTGAAAGACGTGGAAATATCAAAAACATCCTTTGAATTAGAATCGATTTTAAATCTCTGTCAGAGTGTAAACACTGTGAAATAATCTGAAGTTGTGGCTTAAGAAAACAGGGTTGGTTAAAATTACAAAGCTCTGCCTCCTCTCCCGTAGTGGAAGTGTTCACAACCGATGGCCACGTAAGACAGAAGACTCGGAGGAAAACCTCCCAGATTCACATCGTGCAAACTTGAAGCGGTGAATTGATTAAAAAAAGATTTGGACTGCTGTGACAAAAGGGAAACTATGTTGGAAGTTAAGACTCTCAAATGCAATCATCATTTTATCTAAGCTTGGAAATTAGTCACACAATTAAACAACGAATAAAGGAACTAATGAAATATGCCTGGAAAAGATAACTTGAATGTGAATCGAGTGAGAAAGAAAGGTTTTTAAAGATGCGTGGTTCGTGTAAACTGTTCCTACTACCTGACAGATCCTCTTTTGACAGCTAAATGGGTGTTTAACTATTATTCATTTTCAAATGTTTTTCCACCACTTTGCGGTGATTTCTTCATTTACACAATATGCAAGCCACTTCCAAAGCTTTTGTTATCCACCGCTGATATGCCACATAAAGAGATGAATGAAATTAACGAAACACAAAACTGTCTTGAAAGGTTGTGGTGCAAGAGCAACAACTGGCAACCTCCCCGGGTGCTTTTCTTTCAGTGATAATTAACAACTGTGGCAGTAGAAAGGAGGGAAAGCTGTGAAACAGAATTAGCACTGATTAAATAGCTGTCACTGTTTGATTACGGACAAAGTTAAAGGGGAAGCAACACAAAAGAGGAGCCGGAGCCGGAGGGAGGGTAATGAGTGTGGAAAAGAGCCGTGCATTAATCGGCTTCAAGGCCGTCTCCGTCAAAAAGCTGGCTTTAACAGGGCTTTATAAGAACATATGAGAGAAAAGGATCCGACACGCACACCACCCTTTCTCCAACTCTACTAAAAATAAATGCTTGATCTGACAATCAGGCTCAGAAACTTACTGCCACAGCGATCCTTCCCAGAACGTGCTCCGGTATTCTTTTATAGACGTCCAAAGATCCACCTGCATGGGGAAAAACAAAGATGTTTGTAGGCCTGGGTTTAACCCGTGTAATATGACTGAATGCTACATCATAGTAAAAAACATGTACAATTTGAGTGAGGAGAAAAATGCCTTGGCTTAAGATTTTGTTTAAAGGTAAATATCAGTTTAGTTTGAATTTCACTTCAAAATTGTTTATTTTTCATAAAAAGTAGTTCCAGAATCATAAGGAAAACTCCAATTTCAACACGACTGTGACGTCAAACTACATGATGATTTTTGCTATAGTCCATCTTCTATAATGCAAATAACTGATCCTAGCATAATGTTTACTTTTACTAGTAACTCAGGTTAAGAAAAGTTCCATGAAGTAGTCAGAAGTTACAGACTTTACTGACGCACTGCTGAATGTGTGAAACATGGGAATCGTTGCATTAACACGCACTTAGACAAACACACGCCTAGGAACCACACTGTCCCCGATCTCACACCAGTGCATACATCTCCAAATGCACTTCAGTCAAGATTTATCACGCCCTTGTAGCTTTTAGCGCACAGCCATGCTAAGCAGCTCACAGCAATCAGGCGATCCTTTGATCTGCAGAAGTGTAAATGGATACTCAGCGGAGAGACGGAGCTGGGCTCTTCCCTCAAGTCTCTTCTGCGTAGCTGTAGGCAGCGAGGGAGAAAGCAACGTAGCAGAAAAACTCACCATCCATAAATTCTGTGCATATGGAAATCCTGTTCTCCACAAAGAAGGCACTGAAGAAAGTGATAATGTAGGGCGAATCGCACTGCAAATAAAGAAGACGCTGAATAATTAAGGAAAACTCAAAGCATTTTGATTTATTTATAAAGTCGGAAAAGTGGTTGCTATCTTGCTAGCGCAAACAAAACTTCCTTTCTTTGCTACTGTAAAGCATTTTGATTTCTACTGTGTTTATCCTTTCAAATTTTTAGAAGGGATTTTCTTGAGTTGTGTCTAATAATGGTGACAGTGTTTGTAGTACATGCTAAGGGAGAAATAACAGATCAAAATATAGATACATAATGCCGGAGGCTTTCTCAATTTAAAAAATCAGCCAACAGTATTCTCAAACTCCCTTTTGATTTAGTCACTGAAAGATAAACCATTTGCATATACTTCTGTATTTAAGGACTCTTGCCAATATTTATCAGCAGCTAAATACGACTCCACTGATGGGATCTAATAAATCTGCCATTTTACCAGGTAGATTTTCCTTCACCATTTAGCCAAAATACTGGGTCGTCCCTCCAAATTATTGAATGCAGCTATGCTAATCATCCTACATGTCCAGCGTTGTGTAAAATCTAGCATCTTGGCACCAAGCCTGCTTCTGCAGACATTTTTTGAAAGAACGGTTTGCTCCCAGGAGCAGAGCTGAGTAAATAAGAGCATGAAAAAAGTCCTGTTGTGGAATATTCTCACAAGTAAATCTGGGGGTATTAAAACACAGTAGAAGGGATTGGACTGAGTGTAGAGGTCACCTCCAAACTTCACCAGGCCTTTTACCACCAAGAAAACTTTATTTTTTCTTTTTGCTAGGAATTGATTGTGAATAACAAATTATGCTCTGAGATGGGCTCTAAGGCAAACACTTTGAGGCCTCTTTATGACAAATAAGCGGAAACCCTTTAGAGAATCTGCAGCATATCCTGATTTAGTATCAAAAGTAGCCACACACCGCCGCAGTAACATGTTTCAGCTTTTACATGACTTTGTGTCATGATATTCATCATAACTGATGTTTTAGAAACCGAATATTGCATAAAATATAAATGACGTGTGTTATTTTTGGAGTGCTGCTTAGAAACCAAATGAAGTGGAAGCAGGAGCCCTTTAACATGAAATGGATTAAATGGTCAAAAAGATTCAGGAGGAGGAAAAACGAATCGTTTTTGCTGAAGAGGAACAGATGAGAGCTGGAGACACCAACCTTGTAGAGAATTTCCAGTTCTGACATGATTTGCTTCTGTAACTCCACTGTAATATCCAGAGGAATAACCTGTACTCACATGTTACAAAAAAAAAAAGAGAAAGGAGAAAGTAGAGTTTATTAAATCAAGCACAAAAATGCAATGGAAAGACACGGTAAAGGAGTCAATACAATCAGAGAAATTCTCACCTTGACAGCTAAAACACGCTTGCTAAGAACATGGTAAGCTCTAGAGGAGAAAAACAAAAAAAAACAAATGGGCAAATATATTCAAATCATAATCTTAAAAACGCCCTTCCTTGCCTTTCAATGTCATTTTTAACTGTATGAAATTAAAAGAACTGTACATACAATTATTTCTTTATCTTTAGAAAGGTCATGTCAGTTTTTACAACCAGCTACGATTCTGTTCACTCTTGATTTAAACACAGATAAGTTCAGTTTTTCCTTTCTATTGCACAAAAGACATGCCAAGGTCTTCGCAAACAAATCTCCACCTACTTTCAGGCTTTCATTAACGTTCTGGACAGGGAACTGTAACAATCACTACTTTATTTGTCTAAGAATATCGTACTCACTGTAATTAACAAGTGAAATAACGTTCCAAAAAAACGCAAAACTAATTTCCTTATTAAATACAGTAAACATAGATTTTTTTTTTTCTGTTGTTCAAATCAGCAATGACTAAATGATTAAAACCAGATCAAGGCAACCCTTTCTCTCCAGACTTGAGTCTAGAGTTGCAGGTAAAGCTGCAGTCGCCGACCGGACCCCTAATGATTTAATTAGCGAACACCTTAGCAGCATGCATCGGCTTTAGTTACCGGCCTTGGAGGTCGGTTTACAGTGGCCCCGACAATACCTCAAGAGCTCTTAACATACAGTCCTCAAGGACGAACACTGTACGTCAGCTGTCGGGTGATGAAGTGGAGGTGGGTTCGGCGTACGTCACGCGGGCCGGTTGATTTGCAGGTTTAAGACATGCGATCCTTACCCAACAACATGCAGTGGGCCCTCTGTGAGTATGCTACCAAGTGTGTTTAATGTGTCCAACTTTGGGGTGTCAAATTGCTGTTGCGGCACTCGCTCCTAAACTGGCCCAGAACTTTAATTAATGGCAACTATTAGGGCTGAGTTAGGTATTAACAAACAGGGCAAACGCCTACTGTGGCTATCCTGTGCAGCCAGGATGGTAACTAAGGTGTGACAGAAAAACACCTTTCTAATAAAACAAAACAAAAATGGATGATCATTCCTCATGCAGCCTAATCAAAAAGATGGAAATGAAAAGGCTGCATAATGATAAACTTAAACATTTCCTGACTTATGTGGGATGTTTAATTTCCTAGAAAGAATGTTGATCGTACGCCTCATCGTGGAAGAAAGCTGATGGCCCCGTTTTCATTTTGATCTCTCTGTCCTCCTGTTAGCTACAATCAATAGCACTTAAGCATGACAGCTGCTTCTTAATTAAAAAGAGGATGTTAATTGATGCAGGACTGCAGGGGTACACATGTTATGTACCGACTTAGCCGTGTGTATGAGTGATTCAGAGCAGAATTACTGCAACACCAAATGACTTGTGGTCGTGACAGAGAAGCCTCCAAATGCCAAGCAGAGGAGTGACACAGCAAAATAACACATAGGCAGCAATTTCAGTTTATTTAGAGTCGTAAAAAGAAAAAAAAGAGATGGTTCAAAAACAGATACACTGAGATGGAAACTGTAGATATAAATCCCACATAAAATAGTGAAAAAGGTCAAAGTTAGAACAAAAAGTACATCGGGGCTGTAAAAGAGGTCGTGACGACTGCTTGGTCAAAGCTTTATTCTCAGGCTGGCCTTGACCACCCCAGGGCCCAGCATCCTCGTATGAGTTACAGTGACAGGCCTGTGACAGCGGGAGGCTAGGGGACAAGGTTACATGGGCACCCCCACCGTCACTTCCCCCCGATCTGACCCTAGTAAATGTGCCCCATTGCCTGGATCTTATTTACACTCCAGCTTGCTCTGTAATAAAAGCTCCATCATGCAGTATTCACAGAGCCTCTCATGATGCTTCTAAACTTGGGGCTGTGGGTTACGGACACAAGCCTTTTTGGATCAGGGCTAGCAGACATGCATGTTCGGCTGGGTTACATAAATGACACTCTACCTGTGCTTCTCGCTGGCCATCCTGTCTGAAAACGTCATAAATTGGGTTCAAAGAAGCCTAAATACAAACATTCAGAAACTTATCAAGTTTTCTTCCCTCTCCGCAGGAACTAGAAGTGCTTAACCCTGTTGTCAAGACAACGACACGCAGATGATTTGTCCAACTCAGAATTTGGGATTCAGACTTTTCCAGAGTCAAACTCCCATTGGTGTCGGCTCTTTTCACCTCTGTTTGTACTGTTAAAGTTCAAATCTAGGACCAGGACTTTAACCCATTCGTTTCCGATTAATTAAGTATAGAGATTTTATATATATATAAAATTCAGAGCCAGAACCTTTGAATTTACATGTTTCTTGTACACCTGTAAACCTGATGTAACAGCAACATCTGCAAACATCGGCCCAATGGAGGTTCATTCTTGCTTTGAAAAACTATCTGATTGGACGCTAGAAAAGACTATGTCGTGTGGAAGTTGTGCTAAGAGGAGCCTATCACTAACGCTATTCAAGCCTAAAATACAATCTCAATAGATTTTGGGAAGAAACTGGGTATTAGGTTTGTAAATACAAACACTTTTCCGAGCTATTTTAGTTCTTGTCCAACTTAGAAACACTTCTATCAAACTCAGCACTTTTCCAGACTTTAAAGACACCCTTATTTAACTTTTGCTGTAAGTGCAAATGCGTCTGGATACGTAAGAGGCTTGTATTATTCTGAAGGTGTTTCACTTGAGCTGATTTAGATTTTTGCTAACAGAGACCAAGACACAATCCTAGAATCTCACAACCATTAACCAAATAGGTTCAGCCCTTCAATACACACTCTAATCAATGAGGTGAAAAAAACAAAATCAATGGAGAAAATGGGCTGCGATGCTAAAGAACCAGGTGTGGGTGCCTAAGTAGATGTCGCCAGAGTCACAGCCAGGCAAATGCGATCTTTTAATTGCCCCGCTGGATCCATGAGTCGTGTGTGTCCTTGCTGGAGTATTTATAAGCTGTAACGCCAGTCAGATTGGTGAACAGTGTGTAGTAAAAAGAGGGGGGGGAAAGGCAGACTTTGATGGATGAGCAGGGTCAACATGCGGCTGTGAAGAGCTGAAGTGTTGGTAACATTCAATCGAGTCGAAATGACTCCGGGTCATAAATAGGGTAGGAGGTTAATAGGTGGGGAGCCGTTTGTAGTTGTATTCACATGTGATGAACCCAATCTGAGCTGCACCAAACAGCAGAGACTGACAAGGATATAAGACCTTATAATGTCCGCCCACACCATAAATACTCCATGAAAACACAGCGGCTCTCTAACTGAACATTACTATAAAGCAGTGAGGCCTGCGATAACCTCTGGCTCACTGAACATCTTGTTCTGGATGGACTTTTGTTTGTCAACCAAATGAAAATCTATTTCATTTGTCAAACATTTTACTGCTGAAATTTAGCTCGACATAATTTCATTCACTTTGTTTCACTTACTTAATTATGAAGCACAAAAAAAAACAACAGTTTCACCAAAGGGTTTGTAAAGGTGGAATATAAGTACATGTAGCAAAATAAACCTGGTGAGTTTGGCCCCAAAACACAGCTAAGGATGATTAAATGTACCCTAATTAAATGATCAGTAGGTAATAGCTATTTTAAATGGAATTTGTTTTCTTCAAGTTAAACTTTACAACAAACTTCTAAATAAAGTACTCATTCGATATCAAGAGCCGCTTTATTAACTCCGTACTTTTTGTTAATCTTCTTCTTCCAACCATGTCAGTTTCAGCACCAATGCATATAGATTTTTACTGGACTAAATTGACCAGAGAATTTGTTGGGGTTGCATTATTGGCTTTCTTCAGTGCAGTGTAACCATTTCTGGTGCCAAACTGATGAACAATCCTATTCCCTTTTAACTATTAAAGGATGAAGCCTACCGAAACAATTTTAAAAGCAGCGAAAGAAGTTCGAACAGGCAAAAGACGTAAAACGAAAACAAAGGGGCGGTTCTGTGCCAGCGCCGAGACGGGAAAATTTACAGGTTTTGCTGAGGACGGTCTGAAGCAGAGCGCTCTGTCAAGTCAAGGTTAGTCTTAGCAGTGATCAATACTTCAATCTCAATAAAACAGCTCAATTGCGGAGAATTGATGAGGAATGGAAAGAAAAGGTGGGGAGAGAAAGATAGAAGAGCAACAGAAATGCCAACCTTGTCATAACGGAGCAGGACTGTAATACATTTGTCTACTGGATGGAGCTCTTTACGGCGGCGGGCAGAGTGCTACTCTCCAGACCGATTAAGTCAATGGCTGTCATACCTTATAGCCCCCAAATCAATATCGTATAGGTTTGCAACCTTCGAACCAGAATAAATAAGTGAAGATGGAGACACAAACCAGCCTGATAGATGTCACACCGACCACAGAGATGAATGACCAAACAGAGAATCAGAGGATGGAGGATTCTTCGCACAGCAACATGTTTTAGTATGGAAAAGTTCACATTTTAGCATAACTGAAACCATTTCAGCTGCTTGATCAGGTACTTCAATACATCTCAATCTACAGCAGGTAACTTTGTGCTTGTGATGCTGGTCATGTGTGTGAGCAATACTCACTTATAAACTGTGCCTCCATTTCCATGGCCAAGTTGCTCCTGATAGTGGAGATCCTGGGCATTTATCTACAGGGCAGCAAACACATGTACGCAGGTTATGGCACCATAGGAGTGGGGAGGGTTGCGTTGTTTAGGAGAGATGGAGGGAGAGCATGCCCGTGTGAAGCAGAAGGGGCTACGCCGTTATTGGAAGCCATAAACAAGCCAGGCATCAGGTCAGCCCAAGTTCAGCGACACGCGGAGAGAAAACAGAGTAGCAGCAGGAGGGGATCAATACTACACTTGCTGTCCAATTTATAAAAGGATATTGGGTTTGGGTGAGAAAGGCAGAGACTTATGGTTGGTTTAAAGCTGCCTTTTTCTCTTTTGATCATTTAAGTTCATTTAAACTGAATTAAAAAGAAAAACAACAACATTATTTGTCTTTTCTTGCTTTTCTTTTAAAAAACATTTTTTAACTGGATCTAAAAGAAGCTTGGTAAAACAAGCATTAAAGCTCCAATTCTGATTTCTGGAAAATTTAGCTGAATATACCTGAAATTTATTAATCAAAAATCAAAAACAAAACAAAAAAAGACTGTCAAGACATAAACAAGCCACCAGCCAAAACATAATGATTTACTGCAAAAAAAAATTTATTCTGGCATTCACACCAAAGGTAATTCAACAAATGCCTAAAAATATTTGCAAATTAACCAAAGCCCTAACTTTTATAAGCATAAAAAAAGAGGAACTACTCAGCAATTCATTTCTAAAGTTACACACTAGTTGTTTTTTGCTATTTAATGATGCCAAAACAACATTTATCCCTTTTTGTAACGCAAGTGGGACATAAAAATCTGAGGTGTTGGTCTCATTATCAAGGCAGGATACTATTTACATAATGTTGATGATGCAGTCTTGTGCTCAATTCTTTCATTAAAGAATAGTTGCTTTATTGCTTGAAATAAACTTTTGCATTTTGTATCTTAATTGTGGCATTTCTTTATATTCCTTTCTGTTTTCCTTCATTCCATATAATGGGAGTGTAAGAATGGTGTTCAACAGCAGTAATTGTCTGAGTAGAGGTGGGAGGCTCTGTTGATAATACACTGTAAGAGATCACAACGTGATGATGATCTGTCAAAGCAGATAGCTTATGGGATCGTCTTTAAAAGATATTCGATTCACTAAAGATCTACTGTATGTTCCCACTCAGAAACTATAATTTCCCTCATTTTCCTTTAGCTTCAAGCATTAACTTTTAAGCAGCTGAGATAAAATAGTTTCTGGGGGGTTTTTGTGGATGAATTGGCAGAAAAAACCAGGGGAAAGCTGGTGACTGACCTAGGAAAATGAGTTAATAGACTACGACTACTACTACAAACATTAATAGTAAGAATAAATTTAGCTGTGATAATTATGATAAATTTGTAAATAATAATCATCATGCAAAAGTGTCATAGCTGCTTATTTTTCTAAAATACCCTTTTAATTTTTTGCAGCTAGAGTGCACTTTAATGATTTAGCATGCTTGTAGAGTTAAATAATGCGAACTGTGTTTTGACACATGTTGACAAAACTGTGGAAACTGAATAAATTATGTTTCTAAACATTATTTCACTTTGGCTCCACTGTTTTTCCTCACCAGATATTATTTTATTCATGTAGATTGTGAAAAAAATTGCCATGATATTTTCACCATGTTGCCCAACTAATGTCAGACAGCCAGTGAGAAATACATAGTTATAAAGATTAAGCTAAGCATGTAATTTGAATGCTGACATTGATTTAGGCCAAACTGTATCCAAATATATTTTTTTTAATAGCGAAGGAAAAAAAAGGATTCAGAATAATTTAAGCAAGACTGCAAATGTTCAAACAAGCTCCTTGCTAAATTTAAACTCAATTTAATTGTGAGCAGAGAGGTGAAAGGAGAGAAAATAAATGGATAAAAGACGTGAAAGAGATGGGAGGCAACAAATCTATTAGTTCGTCGGTTTACAGAAGAAACCCGAGAGGCTGAGGTCTTAATTTTCTTCCTCGCAAGCAGACTAATACCTGACTATGAATGTGAGAATGAAAAATAGGTGAGCAGAAAGTTTTCTTTCGTCACAGTCTGAAAATTAGCTGCCAATGCCATATTGCGGAGCATATATATTTTTTGACGACTCACCTGCCCGTTCGTCAAGATTGTCTTCAACTCAGCAGATGACTTCTTCAAACTGGACAAAGGAAACCAAATGTTTCTCAACTTTTCTATCCTCCAAGCAGCTGCAGCTTAACCCATGAACTGTCACATCAGCTTCCTGGTGAGAAAAACTCACCTGTTGTTGGCTAAGGAGTCTGGGACAACCTGAGTGCAGTCGTTGGCTGGGCTGGGCCTCGTGTTAACCTGAAGGTGAGCAAACACAAATGTGACAAAAACAAACTAATACACGAAGAGAAAGACAAGCAGATGGAAACGCAGGTGGAAATGTTCATGAACAATAAAACGTGCAGTGTTTTCATGAGAAGAGAAGCAAGAAAAGAGGCGAAGAAAGGGAAAAATTAATGTACAGAAATGTGGCTTTACACTAGAGAAAATAAAACTGATTACAATAAATCGGCAAGTTAAGGTATTAAAATGTTATGCCTCACTGGGGACTTTATTCCCTACTTTCTACGTCTATCCAACTGTATCTGTTTATTCAAGAGCACTTCATAATCAGCCCAGATATAGATTAAAAAAGAAAAATCAAGAGATGAGACCCTGGAAAGGGAACACTAAAAATAACTCCTAAATTGAGGTCAAAAGACCAATGTGTTGGGCTCACAAAAGCTCGGGGATTCTCCCTTTAATTAGTGCCCAGGAAAACCTCATTTAAATGCCACACAAGGTTCCTCTTAGCCAATTACTTTTGTACTATAAAAAAGGGAAAACATCACCAAACGACTAAAGGTTTCTGGAGAACGACATCTTCTCAAAACAGACCCTTGACCTTAAAAAAAAAAAAAAAAAAAAAAGAAAAGGAAAAACTGACACAGTTCAGTGGGTGTTACAAAAGCTCCTCTGAGGATGGGTTAAATAAAAACACTCAGTGTTTTAGTGGGGGTTGAGTTTGTCATTGAAATGCAGATGGATGTAATATGGATCATCGAGAGAGATGGAGGAGGTGTCAAGTCATTTAACCCATGATAATTAGCAGCGACTTTCAATGGCAACATATGCCGAACATAAAAAGGGGAAGGTCTGGGGAAAGGCCATTTGGGGGCTTGTAATGACAATGTCACGGTTGAACAATGACATCTTCTTATTGCCTGATTTTGCTCTAACCAACGCCTGATATTCCTCCTATCTTACGGATCACGATACTCTGGAGGGGAATCTGGATTTCTCAGGAACGCCGTTACGCTAAACGACTTTCCCGAGAATCCAGAGCGACTCAGGAGGAGAAAGTCGAGCCCTCTGACAGACGGAGCCGCGTATCTCCATACATAAACATGGAAAAAGGAGAATGAGTGAAAGAAAAGGAGAGCCTTGACTTCAATTGACATTTCAATAAGTGGAACACAGCATTACCAATCCATTTGACTCAACTTCCCGCCCTCCTCCTCCCCCCCACGCTCCCCGTGTAAGGCAGCCGAAACAATTATTGAGATGGGTACCTTCAGGCCATGTATGTTCCGGATCCCTGGAGTCTTGCCGGCTGAAACAGTAATTGGTTAGATTGTAGAACACATCACTGGACCATTTACAAATGTGTTGAAAAGGAATCAGTTCTTTATAAATAATAAAAAAAAAAAGAATAAGGTGATGAAATGACACAAGGGTTGGTCTGAGAATGAGAGTGACTGAGATATTGGGCTCCTGAGAGAGCTGGTGGTAGGTAAAGAAGAAAAAGAAGAAGAAAAAACAATCACAGAGTTGCAGCGGGGACATAAAGGAGAAACCGACTCTCGCAGAGTAAAAGAGACACAAAGAATGTTTTATCACTCCGCCCTTGAGGCCAGCGATCTTGTATGACTTTGAACTGGAAACTATAACGTGGTGTTGAAAAAGTAAGTACTGGAGAAGCAAGTGTGTTAAAACCACAGATAAGAGGAAGCTACACAATGCTGGAGATAAAAGCAAATTCTTGCAGAGCTAGATAATGTGGATGGATGTGTTGAGAAGAAAATGTGATCATTTCTCACTAAAAAAAGTGATTATTATGTTGATATATTGGCGAAAGTAAATTAGCATCTTTCTTATCCATCACTATGGTTTGGTTGTTTTTCAGTAACTGCTTGATCCTTCAGCTTTTGCAAATGTGAATTTCTACACACAAAGAGGGACGAGGGAGTTTAACTACACATATCTCATAATCCATCTCAGAATCCCTGCAGGCAGATGGCCTCATATCAACATCTTCCTTTTTAAAGCCGTTTCCAGCAGCATCCAGTGATCAGAAAAGCTGTATGATCCCTGATCCTCTGATATCAGGGATCACGAAGCGGGTGTGACACACAGTGTTTCAAGTAGGGTCCATTTCCTCTGTGGGGCAATATAAAAAGACGAACTGAGAACTAGTTAGTAAGCTAGCTAATAACTAAACTGGAAATATGGATTCACCACAAAACCTCAAAAGCAACTTGATCAACTCTAAGTTTTTATACCAACTTAAAAGGTTAATATAAAAATAAGTGAGATTATGGTATTTGAATGTTAAATGGACTCTGAAGAGATGTTGACACATCGTGGTTTTACTGTGTTTCTTCTATTTTAAATTAGGCATATGTGTGTATGCAGCTGTAGTTTTAAACATGGACCTCACATTTTGATTGGCTGTTGATCACAATGGACCAGCCTCCAGTTCCTGATCAAAGCGGTTCTTTAGTCTGACCCACTGAGATAGCTCTAGTTTATTGGAGCCAGACTTGGCTGCTTGCAGCAGAGGAACCAAAGACCAGCTGATCTGACATCAGTTTAGCCAACTTGGTTGAAAAACTCATTCTACGATCTTTAGTATTTTGGCCACTATCCTTCATCTGGAGTGAAAATCAAATGCAATCCATCCAAAAGACTCAATAAGAGTCTTTTGGATGGATGGTTAGTACTAATAGCATTAGTACTAACCAAAAAATATTACACTTTGCACAGTCCTTTACAACATTAATATTCCACACTGCATACCAAAGTAAAGATGTTATTTTCAATTCGAGCTGCACAATATGCTGAATCACAATCGTCACTGCGATATCGCAATGACCAGTTTAATGCATTATTGGGTAAGCTGTACAATTTTACATGCTAGGCATTACAAACCATCTTTTCTGTAATATTTGGGCCATTTAGATGGACCTTCCCTATCCTTTTTTGTCCATAACTGATAAGAATCCAACACCAGAAATGTCAGGGAGAGAGTAGAGGACATCATGAAGGTGGAAAACAGAAAGTAAAAAAGTCACATGTGTTAATCACAACCGCTTCAATATTCCTCAAATATATCACAAAGTCATGGTTCTCTAGAATGGTGCAGCTCTAATTTTGATCTGTTGTAAATTTCTGCACTTCTAATTTGAGCTGCAAAATACAACTGAATCGCAGCTGCCATCGCAATATCGATGATTGCCTTAATAAAACGCTCGGTGGGTAACTATATAAATATATCTTCAACTTTTACATTTTATATTACAACCATTTACAAGCACATGTCAGTAAATTGGAATATACATTGCAATAATAACAATATTTAATGAGGTATTAAACACACTCTTCTTTAAGCTTTTAAATATTTAATCTTAAAAGTCATGTTTTCATTCACTGGAAGCAGAAAATCCATCATGATTAACAAAAATAAAGGCTTGAAAAACACATTCCAAGTGTTATGAACTTGCAACCGGATAAATAATGTGATATTGAACACCTTAGCTTTGAGCTGATGCTCGCATTGGACACTAATGACGTCGCTCAAAACGCTAACGGTCACACAGTGATGGAAAGACAGATGAGAAACAGAAGAAAGAAGAAAATTGGCAAATATTTCAATATTTATCAATATCGTGCCCATCGCAAGATTTTCTAATATCGTACAGCCCTATTTTGTTTCCACATCTGTTAAACCAGATGCAAAACTCATGGAAAGTGGTAGAAACACTGATATGACAAAACAGTAAGAGGAAAATTTGGCTCAATGGCAACTTCTACCCTCACCTCGATGTTAAACAGCAAAGTCCCTGTGGCGTGTTTTCCAAATATCTTGGAAGCCTTTTTCTAACCTAGTGTGATTGTAAATTAAGACTCTGTACCTCTTGGAAAAATCTGTAGCGGGTCTGGCATCAGTCCATTCATGCGCTGTTCATTCATTGTGTTGCAGTACTAAAATCAAGAAGAAGAAAAAAAATAACATATTTAAGAATAACACTGGCTTGACCATTAATGCACAAAAAGACAACTTAAACATCCTTGAATGTTTATTATAATTAGGTTAAAATTTGAGGAAAAGAGATGTTTTCCTAGCTAGGTTAGAATAAGTCCAAAGCATCTTCAAAAAAAAAGAAAAGTGAGCATGCTGTGCTGAAATCTGTTGCCGATGAGGTCCAATGCCCTGTGGGCTTGTTCTGAGGGAGTGTAGCATTAACCCTTTTCTCCTCCAGGTCAGCAGCTCACCAAACACTCATATCCTACAGGACTAACACGAGCAGACGCACTCTGGAGCCTCTCAGCTGCTTGCCAAGGCAATGCAATAATTGATGTTTCAGTTAAACAAACCATCTGTTAAAGTGTGAGCTTCTGCGCGTGGAAACATTTGTGGGTGGGTGTGCGCTTGAGTTTTCCTTTTCAAGATTTCTATCCAAACGCCTAAAAATACCAAAAACAGTGCAATGTTTGTATGAAGAGGAAACCTACATGAGATCATTGTGTTTAATTTTCTATCCAGGGTGAATAAAGGCAGTCGCCACAGCAATATGTAAATCTGCTCTCTCATTGTGAAGGAGGGAGGGAGGACGATGGGACCGGCTTGGATGGGAATGGATCAGAATGGCTACCCAAGTGGCACAGCTGTTATTAAAAGGCCTATTTATCACTGTCAGATCCCCTCCTCGCTCCTAGCCCTCTGCTTTTACCCTCCAGCACTTTCACTAGGCCACATCTGAACAATACGGCCTAATACCAAAAAAAGAAGAAGAAGAAGAGGAAGAAGAAGAAGAAGAAGGGGAAAAAAAATGCAATGTGTGTTGAGGTTGTGGAAGCAGATCGGGCTTCGTGTACCTTTAATTTTCCGCTCAGCTGGCTTATTGATTAAAGCCGCAATTACCACCTAATCTTTAGTAGGTGTGTTATTAAAAGACACTCTCCATTGTTGGCCAATAACTAAACAGTGTCCGAACTCAAACGGTATCGCTAAGCCTTAAGGGACACACGAGAGAAGTGTGGGTCTCATCATCATTAGCCGAGTAAGGGGGAAACGGGAGTAAAAACGATGGAATTAGAGTCACTACCTCCAGGGGGGTGCCGCATGAGGAGTGGATGGTGGGGCAGGAGGGGTCACATGTTTTATTTTAGCGCCTGACATAGACCAGTCTTTAACTTTGAATAGGGGCGTCTGTCTTTCAAGGTGTCGAACAATGATTAGAGATGCCTGGAAGTCGAGCCGGTCTCACAGGAGCATGTAGCAGCAATCAATGTTTGCAAAGAAGTGGAAGACTTTTTAGAACAGACGCCCTCTGCACACTCCCGTTAATTAACTTGTGAATTTGAGCATTAATTTGAGCAACCAGAAGTGTCATTTTTTCTTTATTTTTTTTTTTTTGGCAAGCAGAGATCTTGGGAAAGGGAAAAAAAAGAAAAATTGATTTTGAAAATGTTTAAAAGTAATTATATATATATTTTTCCAAATCAGAAGTATCCAGACAGAAACACCTGCATTCACAACATGACAGACTAAATGAATTACCCCCACCTCTGACCCAACATGCTGTTTCCTGTAATTCCTATTAATTTCAAATAATGGCTGTCTGCTCACCTGGAATTAATAACACTGAAGTCAAAATCCACTGGGATATCTGCGGAGGGCCAAGTGGCAACCACAGCAAACAACCACAAACGGAAATAAAAAATGCATTTAAAGTACATGTACTTGAGTGGTTTAAATTATATTCCAGTGTGTTCGGTATTTTCCAGGTGATCAGCAGCTTTTTGTACATCGGGCGGTCCCATGAGTGGAAAGCCATTACAGAACTCTTGGATTCATTTGGCAAAAATTCATGAACAAATGAGTTTTTAAATGTGTGGCCACAGAAGTGCAGCGTGAATACATAATATTTGTGATCGGTAGAAAGTTTGGAGGTCAGGGTCGTACATCACGTTCAGCCACGTCACATCTGTATAAAGCACTAAGTGTATGAAAAAATGCTCAGAATGTGATTGGCACTGATAAATAAAAAGAGAAAGAAAATATATGCAAAGTTCCTACATGTTTATGTTGTAAGCCAAAAATTTTTCCGACTTAAATCTCTCAAAAGTTCTAAGTCCCTTTTTGGCTACATTTTATAAATGTAGAGCAAATATTCACGCTTTGCTAGAACTTTAAATATGGAATGTGTGACTACAATATTGGGATGGATGTATGGATGTGGATGGAGAAACGTACTGCAATGATATTTAAAATATATACATATGAAGCAAAGCATTTATGTAGATATAAAAAATGACTTCAGAGAGATTTGACTTCCTAAATTGACACTTTGAAATTGAGTTCTGTGTCTTTAAGAAGCTCCTGCTCTTTCCAAGACTCCGCCTTCAGCATATTATCACAACAGTGCTCCTCCATTATGTTGTCTACAGCCTTTCTTAGGAGTATTGAACTGAAAAGTAGTTTGTAAAAAGTTAATTTTTCATAATACCCAGCTCAGGTTTGGGCAAAGTATTTCTTAATGAATTAATTGAATTTCTAAAAAATCAGCTGCCAATAAAATTGTGCAAACTTTTTGCTGTCTTTTAGTTAGGAGGCCTTTTCTTCCCAAATGTAAGGAACCTTTCACACCTAATGTAATGTGAATAGATCAGAAAAGTTATAATTTATGTCCATTTGGAAGAAACCAGGTACACTATTAGATGACGAGTTGAGAAATTTTGGTCAATCAGGAATCAATATGTATCCTACATCAAAATGTGCAGTTTACTACCATTTCTGATTGTCCAGATTGTTTGAATACTCAGTTCTTAAATTATGTTAAGTCTCTGTTTTGATTGGTGGATAAAATACATATAACAGGACACACCACACATAGGACAAAACAGCAGAAGTACCGCGCTGATGGCATCAACTAAAACATGATTGTGGCTTAGGTCAATACTTTCTCCGTCTCCTTATAACATCTGCCTCTTTTCCTGTCTAATCACATTGCTACCCTATGCTACATAATGATTAAAAAGCAACCATAAGTGATAAAAATGGCCAAAAAAACAAGGAGTGTAAATTGTGCCTGTGGCAGTAGCAGCATCATTGTGAGCTGATGGGGGGTAAAAGACATCCACAGATGAAAGTAGATTTTGAACAATTCTGCAGCCCAGGGGGGCTGCTCTTTAATGAGGCAAAACTTTAACTACTGAATAATAAATAATAAAAATTGACAGTTCATTTAGCTTTCAGTGTACCTCATACAGAAACTCATTACATGCCATTACTCTTACTGTCCGTGGCATGATCAGTAACTATGGTGGAATAGAAAAATACACTGAATTAGACGGCATCGCTGAGAGGGTAGCTGTGTTATTGTGGAAGAGAGCATTTCTGCTGCCTACAACTTTGTTTTTAAAGACGGTTTTTACCAAACTACTTGAGTGGCAGCTGTGTTATATTTGTTTCAAGTTTCCAGCTCATAGATGTTAACTCAGAGATTATGGAAAAAGTCAAATTTATTCATATGATCGATTATTTGTCTGTCCTTAAAATACTTTCTAGCAAACATGTCACTTTGCACACTAGACATGGAGAGTTATTAAAGTCAGTTGAATCTGATCGTTTGTCTTTAGGGACAAACATGAATTGGATGGTTTGATATTTCACCTACATGGTGCACAGATATAACAACAATTAATTAAATGTTGTTTTGATGTATTTTCATTAATGTACTCACATATGACAACATAGCTTTGAGTTCTTCGTCACTTCTTACAGTAATTCTGTCTCCCACCTCATCTTCATCTAAACACAAAAGGGAAACACAAATAGAGAGCAGTGAGTCATAGATTATAAGACTAAGTATATTAAATTAAGCGCAGTAAAAATTGAGCCTCCACATACACACTTTGAGAGCTGATGTTTATATGCAATGACTACCGCCTGCTCATATTGTTCCCTGAGGAACTGATGCAACATGACAGTTATGGCAGTCAAAATGATAATTAGAACATCAATGGAAAAAGAGGATAATATGGAAAAGTAAATCTTATCTTATGCGCCAGACTGAATTAATTATTATGAATGTGTTTTCTTTACAGAACCATGAAGAGAAATAAATAGATAAATATGCTATGGGTATGAAACGGATGTAGGTGCACTGCTGCGGTATTATGTGATCTGCTGAATGGACTTTCTGAACTTAGACAGATCGTCTTTCTCCTGTTTTATCAAGTTAATAAATGTCTGAGGAAAGTTTTAGATCAACATTTGACATACTGTCTGTATACCTGTTTGTGTTCATCATGCTGACTTTGGGCAACATTCTGCTTTTTTTTTTTTTTAAATCTATTTACAGATTTAAATGTGAATGCAAATTAACCAAACTCTTACAAACTCATACATAATATTTGCAGTTAATACATGCATATGTTGTAACAATGCCTGTATTGATCAAATTCTGAGTAATGAGTTCACGTTTTTATCCTTAGGATAGAATAAAAATGCATGCTTTTCATTAAGTTATATAGTAATTCTGCACACTACGACTGGTTCCCTTCTCATTTAATTTACACAAATTCTTCTACAGTAAAACAACTCAAGGTTCCGTATTAAATATACAGATCTGAAGTTTATTGCTTTGGATACAGAGACCTGCCATTGTTCAATATTAAAAGCAGTCCTCAACAGTACAACTTGCTAAATAATTATGCACACAGTGTATTTTGTAAAAGTACAAATTAGCTGGACTCTTTTGCTGGTGTTGTTCTGCCACTCAGTGAGAGTCTGTCAGCACACTAACACTGTTAATGTATGTAAGAACTGATACCGATCCAAAACCATTATAAAACAAAAAAATAGCAATGTCACAGTAATATTCATACTGTTCGATACAGCAAGACAATAGACTTCCATGGCATTTGGTTTTCCTAACCTCTTCACAAACATATGAATCTCATTTAGTGACAGATAGTTAAGCATCATGCATAGGCAGAAATATAGAAATCTGAGCTATCAAATAAACTCGAATAATTTTATGATAGTTATCTACACAGGCTGTTTCCAGAATGGAATGTTTTAGTCCTATTTGTAGTTTCTGATACTACAAATAGAAAGAGGAACTTACATTCAAACGCCGTGACAGTGGCTTCAGGCATCACGTCTCTGATTGCGACCTAAAATGTTTGGCAGAGTGAATTACAAAGATTTTAACTAGAATAACAGCGACTTATTATATAATGACACCTCCTGAGATTTTACAAGTCTAGAGAAAAATAAATGTACAAGAACTCGATACGCTCATATAGAACAGATATAGGTGGATTCAAATGACATAAATGTAGAAAAACTGTGTTATCTATTAGCCGACTCACCAGCAAGTCGTTGAAGTTCAACACAGATGGATAGTCCACAGACGAGTCCATGTCCCCTAAAGGTGTCTTTATACGGATTACTATCGGCTCGGTGTCCATTTCCACAGGATGATTTAAAATGAGCATAAAAACGGAAGCATGAACCTCATAATCCTCCTCGGTTGTCAGGAAGCTAGCGAGCTAATTTCCTGCAGTGCTTCTCCCCAATTAAAGTGACGTGAAAATGTAAAAGCCGGAGCTGACTCACGAATGTCGCGACATATCGCCTGGAAACCCTCAGACTGGAAACTAAATGTGTTTTTCTTTTGGGCTCCGAAGTAAACTTTTATGTAAGAACACAGGATATGTTTTGCTAGGCAGCTAATTTTAAGGAAACAGCACGTACAGCGTTTCCGAATCAACATCCGCTCAGGGAATTTCAAAATAAGAGACGCATTTGGAATATCTAAACTTTCTGAAGTTCTCTAAGGTTTTTTAAATTAACAACATAGCTCAAATTTACCTTATCTTCAGTTTGAGATAATTAAAAGAATGTTTTGAATAATTAACCTTTTTATTCTTAAAAATACATTATTGGGAATAAATATATTACATTTCACCTCGGTTTTGGAGTTTTTAAATTAATAATTTCTGAAGTTACACATTGTACCTGAGTAAGAAACACACTGAAGCGCAGCAGTTTTAAACCGCTTTGTGTGAGTTCTGTTTTGAATTTTCTGACTTAATAGTGTTCCTTTTGCATTTGGTTGTGACTCAAATGGCTCAAAGTTACTCTCTTCTTCTACTTATTTCTTCTTTAGTTTTTAATGGCAGCTTGCATCCAAAATGTTGCACTACTGTCATCTCTTGGGTCAATGGTTTGGTTAATTATGCAGTAATGTATTTTATCTTAATGGTATTACCCACTGCATGGTGTATCTCTAATTTCTCTCCTGGTTGTTTATCTTCTGTCCGAAAAGCATACTTGTTAGATAAACTGGACAAACTAAATGGATAAAGAAGGGTGAAACGTTTTGGTCATAACTATAACAGATAAAAACTGTTATCATAAATAAACGGCAATTCTAAAGATGTTTGTGTTGCCTAAATGTTCCTGTTTATCCAGCTGATTGATCTTTTGATGCTAAAGGAGAAAAAATATTTGTAATAAATTCAACAAGCAAATCAAGATTTTTTTTTTCTTTTTGTAAAAATTTGATCCACACTGCCATGGTAAATGCAGTTGAAAACTGCACCAGTTTTTGCTCCTTTTTCACATCATTAACACAGCATTTGTATTTAAAGGTTTCCACTTGGCATCAGTCGTTAGAGCTTAATTGAAAGTAAAACAAAGGAGCACTTAAAACTGTTGTTGATTACGGCCTTATGATTGAGGAGCAGCGGCTCCGTGCAGCTTTGATTGCACTTCTAACAACAAGGCATCGATCTTTGGACAAAGGGAAGTCTCATCTTGTGTTAATTTACAGCGCACTGATCCCAGATCTGATACCTGACTCTGTTGACCTGGGTTATGTGTAATGATAAGAACTTGTTAAAGCCTGCTCTTTCTCCCTATTCCTCCGATCTGGCAGCGATGTGCCACTTGAAATCGTATCCCTGGAGCTTGTGTGCTCTGCCAGCCACCTTGGTAGGTTGGGTTTCAAGCAGGTTACAAAACAACCTTTCCCACCCCTTGGTTGGCCTGGGGATGAACTTTTCAACCAAATGTTTTCATCTCAAGAAACCCGAAAGGAAACATCCAAATTAACTATGGCGTGCACGGTTTCTGTCTACTTACCACAGACTCAAACAGACACACAAACGTTGTGGGTCTATCGACTCTTTCTGAACTAATGTCATCACTTATACCTGTACCAGCAGCTGGGCTAAAGACCCATTGATTTCCATGTAACGCCTGAAATTATTACTTTGTCTAATTGTTACAGGAGAGTAAAGGGGAAACAAGGCAGGGCCATCAAGCGTTCTGATTAATGCCTCCACCAGCAGTGCCCTCTGATGAAAAGCACAGGATCTATATGGCACTTTGTCAAACATACTCTCCCAGGGCTTGACGTTAGGTCCTTCTGCTTTAGGGGCCAGCCAGTACGAAGCGCAGTCAGCAATCCACATTATCAGAAATCAAACTCCTGACTTAGCTCGGAGGGGAAAGTGGAAAAGGAAGGCCAGCATTCGCTGTCTGGTAATTAAGAGCCATTTTATCAGAGCTCCTCCTTTGCTCCATGCTTTTTCCGCCCGTTGCTATTGACAAGCTGCTTAGCACAAAGTGAGTTCAGTTTGACTCTAAATATATGAGGCACACTTATTTAACTTTCTCAGCAAAGAGGGAAATGCAAGTAAACAAGACAGAAATAATGCTGTCCGGCAAGGCTGCCTCTTTCGCTGTATGTTATGTTTTGTTTATGGCCAGGTAGCGTGTGTGTGTGCGCGTGTGTGCGTGCGTGTGTGTGTGTGTGTGTGTGTGTGTGTGTGTGTGTGTGTGTCAGCTGCTTCTTACTTCCTGTCCCCACTTCTCCTGCAGATGGTTATTGTTTCATTGGTCTACATCAAATGTATTGGTAGACTTGTTGTGCTTATTGATGAATGAACCACTGTCTTCTTCTTTCACTGTAATGCTACTATAGAAGATCTTGAAATGCTATCTGTCTGCTCATTCAAAACCAATCGTCGCCTCACATATTACGTCCAGCCTGATAGATTTAACTATGATATTCCCCTTCACATCATTTGTAATTATTCAAGTAAGGTACCATGAAAAATCATTTGCCCCTGCAGATTCTTCTTGTTTGATTTTTTGTTACACTGAACCAGATCTTCAAAGTAATTTCTGACAAAGATAACTTGAGTAAATAAGACCTCCATATTATAAATTATGATAACACTGATATGGAAGAATTCTGTTATCCTCTTTTTTTACACAAGAGACTTAGATTTAAGTTCAGAGAAGGCCAATACAAAATCTTAATTGTGTTTTTTGAGACTTTACCTGTGTCACTAAGTGTTGCTTTTTGAGATATTTTCATGACTCGGACGGCTTTTTCACATCACTGTGAAAACGTTTGATCCCGTTTGCCTCCCAGGAACATTTAAATGTCTCTGGTTCGACAAAAGCGCAGGATTTGATGCAAGCGATGAAAGAAAATTGTGTCCCCGCCATCTGTCTGGGGCCACGTGACGTCCCAACTCAGATATCCAAGCCCTCAAGCTGAAATAGAGATGTGTCTCCTCATCCTTGAAGCCCGAAGCTGGTTGTTTATTGGTGCTGCCAGAGTCCACGCTCAGATCGATACCATCCACCTCAGATGGGCCTTCAAAACACGAGGCTCCAAATTGAGGTCAGGATACGTAGAGGGTTATGGCACTTCACTAGATATGAATTGCCTGAGCTGTTGCGATCATTTGTTATACGTTCCTTTAAAGTTCATCTCAAAAGTTGACCTGTGATGAAGCACGGGGAGTTTGCAAGTCGCCAAGAGTTATGAGGAAATGCTCCAATTCACGGACAAGTCGGGCCTGCGAGAAATGGATTGTGTGACTAACTCTCAGGTCTCTGAGCAGCATGCTTTCCTTGACGTTTCCAGTGTTTCAAATTCACCTCAAAGATGCCCTTTATGGCTCCGTGTTGTTTCTAATAAAGAGGAAATATTGGTGCCGTCCTGACCTGCTCATAGGGGCCATAGAAAATTTATGAGGTGTGTCCCCTCCGTTGAGGCTGCTTTTGAACAAAGCTTGACATAAATAACACATCTCACCAGTTAACCTGAGCTCTATTGGTTCTGTTCTCATTGTTGTGGTCAACTGACTTTAATACATGTAAGACATATATGCTTCTTATTTTATAGTATGTTTTCACAAACTCGCTCTGAACTATGAATCATGGATAACGTCTCTCTTCAGAACGGAGCTCAGTTTTCGTGGGAACCCGGTTTTCAGCTTTTCTTGAAGTTTGATTCTGATTCGTTTGAAAATAAAGGAGATTGTTCTCATAAACACATGAAGGCAAATCTTTAAACTTCATCTAATTTTAGTAAGCTCAAAATAAAGAAAAGAAAATGAATATGAATGAATTGTTGTTGGTATATTTCCAGATGGGAAAAAAAAAAATTGTTTTTCGCTATGATGTAGTTGAAGAAAATGATAAAAAAAAAACAAAAAAAAAAAAAAAAAACTGCTTGGCAGTGGATTGGCTCTTGACTGGTGGTTGTTGTAGACTCGGTCGCAGGATCAAATAATTTGTGGCACTTTAAGCTTGAGCTCGCAAAGATGGAAGAACGAAGCAAGAAACACTCCAAACATTCAGGACATTAGTGGGAAAAGCAACAGGAGGAGAACTGTGGAGAGAACAGTCTAGGCTACAAAAATCACAGGAGACGACGGGATCCAGTTGTGGAAAAAAAATTAAAGTGGAATAAAACTGATGGATCTGGCAAAGGGCTGACTAAACTGAGAGGTTTTATGTGCTGGGGAGGGTGATGACTGGAAGAAGCAGCAGGTTGAACTCATTACCAGAAGGAGGTTTGTGGACAGGAACAGTGGCTAAAGATGGCAGCTCCAAAATATCAAAGACTGCACTCATAGCAAAATGAATACAACACTAAAAGCAAAGTCCAACCGGTCTTTGCTTTTATATATATATATATATAAACATATATTCACTTGATACTTGATATCTTTCCTACTGCAGGGTGAAGTTGTGCTGCAGTGCTGAACAGCATTTATATATCTTATTACTGTTTTCCTCCATGACAATGCTACACCTAACAGTTTTGTTAGCATCCACACTTAACATACGAATCCATAGTTTTTTTAGGCTGACAGTTTCTGTTGTGTTGTGTAAGAAACCGCAAAGTGCTTTATAGGGGGTGCATTAGCTTCAGATATGATTAAATAAAAAAAGAAAATTAAAAAGACACAAAACTAATTAAATTATGTAAATAATAATAAAATAAATAAATAGATTATTCATTACCTATAATATTTCTATTTCATTTCTCCTTAGTAACCACCAGGGGGACCTGCAGCCCTCGACACAATAATGGAAAAATTCAATTCGACTCCCAAAATGACAAGGTTCTGACTATCACTGCATGCAAGATGTTGACTACTAAGAGGTACTCCACATACATTTCTAGCAAGACTGAATTATTCCTTTAAGGTTCATGACCCGTATGCAACTTCCTGCGCATGCAAAAATATTTGTGGTTTTCCAAAAAAAAACAAAAAAAAAACACGGACCTCAGATCTGATTCCAGAAAAGTCCTTTTTGGTCATTCAGACTCTTCTCTGTTTCTAAGCCGTCATGAATCAATATTTCATATGACCGGCTCACTGACCAACGTGGTTCACAAAGAGTGAGAAGCACTGTCAAGTCAAAGTAAATGATCTAAAATATGCATGAACTTTGATGGAAA